TTCTTAATTAAAAATCAATGTGTTTGATCTGTTTATTCATCTGATAATAATAGGCTACAAGTTACATGTAGCACAGTTGAGTGACTTCAGTATTAAAAAAAAACGTAGAACCTCGTTATAGGTAAAACCTGTATAATGTACAGCCAAGTATAGATGTTATGTGTACTTGCATTGCAGTAAAATGTAAGAACAACATTAGGACTTAAACACAATCAAAAAGCTATAAGCGGAAATTATCCCGCACATGCACAGTTTAGCGCCAACATTACTGGGTGAGAATTGAATTTACATAGTATCGTAGAACAACAAACACTAGAATTATCCCATAATTTTCAATCAACAAGAATGCTATTGTAAGCATTGAGTTGATCTTGCTTAGGGATTAGAAAAGAAATGAGGAGGTGATTAATTTTACATGAAACAGGATTCCTCGCCAGAAGTTTTTCACATCCTACTTTATTGACAGTCGAGTCCTCTTCGAGGTATAAAATTTACTATTTATATGGTATTCAATTATTTGTTTCTGAATTGATTGAATATGAAGATCAAGGGCCTCGATTTGCGAAAAAAAAGAGCAGAAATGTGATGAGCATGGTGCCTCATTTAGTCATCACTGACAATATAATGGATGCTCATCAGAAGACTCATTTGCATACAATGAAAGTTTACAACACCAGACTAGTTTGCCCCCCACCCCACCCACCCCATCAAAGTTTTGCTCATAAAGATGACCCTCTTTTTTTGAAGACTGAAGTGTTTACTTGCTCCAAAGTATTCAAAGCTTTCAAGTGATAGAACTCTTGGAATGACCCATCTTTTGCATTGATCTTTCCAAAGCTTTCTTCTCAAAAAATGCATGGCCCTCTGAAAGAATTTTATATGTTGTCAGTCACATGCCCTGCATTGCAGTAGGTTGTCAGTCACGTCACGATGCTTATTCCCTGTTTTCACGGTCTCTGCTAGAAACACCTGGGACCAATTGATTCCCTTTTAATGCACACAAATGAATATTTAAAGGAGCTGTGTCATGGCAGTCCAGTTCATTTTGTTTAATTTTGCCAATTACTCGCCCTCAATCGCTATGGAACTTAAAGTAAGCAAAGAAATTACATGTAAATGACAAAATCAGAGATCCAAGACAAACAAATATGTCTCCTTAGCATTATTTTTGAAGTTGCAAGCAGCAGGGATTAACTTTGAAAAACTGTTAGGCTGAGCAGTTTTCAAAAATCCTAATTTCAATCCGTTTCAATCTTCTTCAGTTTTTCCCATCCATGACATCTGTTGTTTCTGTTATGTTATTTTATCCTTCATTTAAAGTTTTAAGTGGTTATTTTTATGTTTCTCTTAATTTAATGGGCATTTTGTAATTTCCTAATTTGGCTGAATTTCGTGACACAGCTCCTTTAATTAATACCAAGAAGGTTGCAAAGTAGAAGCCATAGATGATGATAGTGTTACTTTTTAACCGCTACTTAGGTATGTACTTTGACTGTTCTGTGGTTTTCAAACAACAAAGGAGCTGTAACTGTTAACTTCAACAAATAGAAATCTGAGTGGAATCAGATGATTAAAAATTATTCAGTAATATACATTACTTCACATGGTGTTTGTTTCCTGATAAGGGTAATTAGTTTATTCCTTTAGGCACTGCAGGGCATATTTGTTTTAATTTGAGAGTGACTGAAAGCGTGTCAAATGATTTCACTTTGACAAGGTTAAAAAAAATACGATTTTATCATACATTACCTCAATTAAGCTTCCAGAGCTACAAAAAGAAAAGGATATTCTTTTGTTTCTAAATGTGTCATGGGCTAGAGTGAATTGTTGCACCCGTTATCATGAAACCTTTTTCCAGGTACATTCAAAATTTGGATCTGTTTACAAAAAATAGTAGCATTTTGTGAGATTCAAAAAACTTATACAAGAAATTTTGATCATTGTAGACTGAGATTCACTTTTCTTCTTTTTTCATGGGAAAAGATTTCCAGCTGCAGAAGCTAGCTGCTGTTCTTAAGTAACCATCTTTATGGAATATGTCTTTCTTTCTGAAATATGTCATGGTTATGGTTACACCAGGCCAATTGAGATGATGTCATATAGCCATTTAATCAACAAAGGGTATTCACTGATCTCAAACTTGTCACCATCAATCTCACCTCTCGAGAAACCCCCCTGTTTTGCTACAACTGTACCATTGATCACACATACAGATGTAGAAAACGTAATGTGACCATGGAAAGCAAAGCTCATACATATGCACAAACCCTAGTGGATTTTGCAACTGTGCTAGGTAAAGAATTCTGTTCTTAACTTGCCCAGTGGGTACGTGGTTTTTAAGGATACTGCAAATTACAAATTAAAGTGCCATAAATGACCTAATAAATGCCCACTTCCAAATAGACACCAAGCTCTTATCTAATAAACACCCTCTCTATGTTGTTAAAATTGTATTAGATGTCCATCTCTAATAAACGCCCCCTGTTTAATAGATGCCTTCTACGAGAATTACTCCAAATTATACTAGGAATATTTTTATTAGCAAAGAGGTGCAAAATCATTCTATTCATTGAGTTTCTTGCTTGATTAACCAGGGTTTGCATATTTCATCTTGTTCAATTTAAAGTTTAAAGTAAAGATAGACTAACGATAGCCACACAATAACAATGACCAAAGATTCTGACATTGATGTGGGGATTTGAAACTCTAGGAGGCCTAGACGTATCAATTGGTGGAGCGGATATTCTGATATTTTTAAACTCTCTTGACATTTTCGCCAAAACCATTTTAGCTTTGTTGAGCTAATGTTACAGTCATGAAAATAAAGCCTCTCTCTTTTAGATGCCTCCTTTCTATTTAACATGCCACTTGGACTGCTAGAATTAAATAGATGCCCCGTGCATTTAATAGGTCATTTACTGTACTGTAAGACAATATTAATACATTGTTGTTAAGATTTCTCGTAAATTCATGCTGATCAAAATCTGTTTTTCAAGCTCATATGACAAAGTGGAATTATTACTATTGTTATAAGAATGAATTAATAAAGCAATACTTAATATATAATAATTAATTATTTAATATTTATCCTGTTCCTCAAAAAAAATTTTCCTGGTTAGCTACAATAACTTTTCAGTTAAGCTCAGGCAAAGCTGCCTTTCTTTGCACACTGAATACAGTGCTATGTTTTCTTGTATATAATAAGCCAGTTACCGATACTTTTTGTGTTTTGCGAGGGTGTCAGCTTGCGAGAACTTTCCCAAAGCTTCATTAAAGAGATCTTATTCAGAGGAGCTTTGTAACCTAATACTGCTTTTTTCCTAACAAGCACTCTTCTAAAATAAGAGTCAAATAAGGAGAAGGACCATCCTCTCAACCAAACTACCAACAAATCTCTATGTACTCACTTAACCCTCTAAGACCCAGAATCCACCCAGAATCCCGTTTTCAAGGCTTCCTTGCCACTTTCTTCCTGTAGTGTATTTTTTTTCTTTCTTTCTTTGTACATTTTGTTTGGCAAATAAAATAAACAAATTCTCCAGACTAATCTCCATACGTTTCCTCAAAGAATTAGTTGAGAAAATGTGAAAGAAATTCAAACATTATTCCTTTGGTGATCATTTTATTGATTTTATTCTCATAACCTTTTCTCCTTATGATGTTTGGATATTGTTGGAAGAAAATTGATGATAGTCATTCTTTCTTTCCTACAGTTTCAGTTTCTTTATCCTGGGATTTGAAACCGCAGTTACTCTAAATATCATTATGACAAGATTAAATAACCCTTTCTTCGCTAATTGGCTATTTTATGTTTTGCTATTGAGAGTTGATACCTTACAGTCCTACTTAGTTAGGGTTCAGGATTTATGTAGAGGGTGGGGGGGGGGCAAGAATTTTTCCAGTTAGTTTTTGGGGGGGGCTATGGAAAATATCTGCCAATGTGACTGAAGGTTTTAAGGGGGGGATAGCTAAAAAGTTGCGGCAAAAACCACTACTGTGTTTCCCTCCCTTCTCCAGGGAATTGTTTGTGTCACTATGAGACTGGGGTGAGAAGAAAAGACAGTATATAAGGGCATTGTAAGAGGTGATGGGGGAAGAAGGACCACACCCTTTGCTCTTCCCATTGTCCCATTGTGCTTATTATTTATGTTTTTTTTTTAATGCATAATGTATAATTTTGTTTATGTATTGCTAGCGGGAGCCTCTGCTGAGGAAATAGTCTGTGGTGGCTATAAAAAATTTTGGCCAATGTGACTGAAGGTCTATGGGGGGGGGGGGGGCAGGTATCAAAAAAGTGCCACTGTGTTACTCTCTTTTCCCCATGGATCTCCTTGTGTCACTAGGAGACTGGGGAGAGGGGAAAAAGGAGCATGCAGGGGATGATACATGTAAGAGGTGATGGGGGAAGGAGAACCACACCCTTTGCTCTTCCCATTATCCCCTCGTGCTTATTATTTTTGTTTAATTTGTTAGGTAGGATTGTATCGATGAATTGCTAGCTAGAACCTTGGCTGAGGAGATAGTCCGTGTTCTTAAGTTTATAATCCTATTGGAGGTGAAGCTAGACAGTGCTTATCAGTTTGATAAATTTAAGTTTTTCAATAGCGATAAACAAAACTGATTAGTTTTTTGCCTATTAAACAATTGTTGTGCTGTGGTTAAATTTTAAGACTTAAATGTCTTGATCTATTCATCAGGGTTTTGTAGGTGGGAGTGGTGGCAGAGGAGAGGAGTCATGTATTTTCCCTATAGTTGTTGGATATGGAACAACGGGGGTGAGGATAAAAAAATCACTTTAGCCCTTCTCTACATAAACTATGAACCCTCACTTAATTTGATAGAGGCTATAAAGACTTCACGTCTGTGCAAACATTTTGGCTTGATTTTGTAGTCCTGATCTGCTCTTATTCAACTGATTTAATTCTACTAGCGGAAGACTTAAAATGTTTTTTGATGATGTTTTATAGAGTCTGATATTTCTGCAAAATTTTTTCTTTGCCCCCTGTGCCACCCACCCATGGTGAACAAAACGTTTACTACGTAGCCCTAGACTGCATCCAGCCTTTTACGGTTTGGCAAAAACCATCCCTGTCACCCCTTAAAGGGCATAGAAAAAACTATATCCCCCAACTACCTGTCTCCTAGAAGGCTCTCCAAAAATGTTTGTTTTCGACGCCACCCTCATGTCACAATAAATGAAAGCCACCTCATTTTCAATTTTTTTTTGTGGTGGTAGCTGTTGTGTAGAGGTAGAGGTGAAAAGCACTGAAAAGATCAAAAGATATGTTCTTATATTTACGAGCTAAATTCTGACATAAGATCGCACTAAAGGAAACGTCGTTTTGACAGTTTAAGTTCTTTTCGCGTTAACCACTAACCATTTTGGCGTATGTTTGTGCTAGTAAACGATAACAAAGCCGATATCAGTAGAGTGCACCGAACCACTGCAGTCGTCCTGGTGTCCGGAAATACTTTACTTCACAGGGAGCACATTTCACTGAAAATTTCGACCAAAAATGTTTTTCGATCTCCCTACAATCGAACGAAGACAGCTACATTGCCATTGTAAATGAAAGCTGCCTTGAAATCGCTTTAAAGTCGCGGCTAGTTGTTGATATGGATTTGAACTCGCACCGGAAAAAGCAGCTCGTGTCGCTGGCCGTGCAAACTGGCCTAATTCTTCTCTCCTTCACCACTGCATTTCTTTTGTTCCTCTTCTCCAGCACATCCATTTCTTAGGTTTTCTTCCTCCATCACCACAACCACTTTTCTATTGATTCCCTTCTCCAGCACCTCGGTCACATTTGCATGGTTCTTTTCGTCTGTCACCGTCACCCTACTTCTGTTGATTCACTTCTCCAGAACATCTATCACATTAATATGATTTTCTACCTTTATCACCACCGGGCCACATTTCTATTGATTGTGTTCTCAGCCTCTCCATCACATTTCTGTGTCATGACATTTCTGTGTTGTTCTTCCTTCATCAAAACTCCCACTTTTCTTTTGTTTTCTATCTCTTCGCATTTATATTTTCCATTCTCAAACACCACATTTCTACAGTTACCTCCATCACCCCTACCACCACATATTATCGGTTCTGGTAATGGACAGTTCCCGCCTGGTTCCCCTTGGATTTCAGCATACCGACAGTAAACAACTATTGTTTAAGCGTGTTTTGAGATTCTCGATTTTTCGATAGCTTTTGTTCTAAACGTGTTTAACAGATTCTTTAAGAGGGCTCTGCCTCAAAAAAAAAACAATAATTTGCAGAGAAGATGCAAGAGAAGACTGTGGCACTGTGTTATTAACTCTACATGTAGTGTAAACCTGTTGTTTTTGTTATTTACTAATAGTAGCTCCAATTGTAAAACTTTCCTGTGCTCTTGTGGTTACAGCTGTCCCTTAAGACTTTGGCCTTTAATAAACTGATCACACCAGAGACGACAAGCGGCCTGAGTTGTCTACAGTCAGCTTGTGTTAAAGGAGACATCGAGACTGTCAATGCAATCTTAAACTACAGTCCAGACAAGCTTGATAGTGCCATAGCTATGGGTATTAAGATTGGCTACAACTCGTCGGTTTTTCCTGGCAAATCTCTTTTGACAGTCTTGAGACTGAAAGGTTCAGAAACGCACAAGCAGATAAGCGAACTTGTTGAAAAAGTTACAAAACACTTTCAATCCCAGTCTCTTTTGCACTTGGCTGCAGAAAGGGGAAATACGGAGCATCTTCGCAGGCTGCTTGAGTGTGGTGAGCATGTTGACTCCTTGTCGCCCGACCTGATGGAAGGCCTGAGAGAAACGCCACTGATGTTGGCAGCTAGGTACAATGAGGTGGACGTTGTAGAATTCTTAATAGAGAGAGGCGCCTCTTTAGAGGCACAGGATATAGAGTATTTAAGTCCAATTCACCATGCTGTAAAAGGCGGTAAAATAAGTAATGTTCTACGCTTAATAGAGCTTGGAGCTAAAGTTTCGAAGGAGAATCTTGAGTATACGTCCCTCGTTCATTTAGCTGCTGAATGTGGCCACACCGATATTCTTCGTCTTCTCTTGGAGAACGGTGCAGATGCTACGAAATCCGTTGCGTATAGCGGAACAACTCCAATTATGTTAGCTGCTGAGAATGGGCACTTAGAAACCCTCAAATTTCTTCTAATAAATGGATGCAATTTGGATAAAGCTGATGAAAGCGGCCAACTTTGTTTCCACTGTGCAGCGGAGGGAGACCATTTTGACGTAGTCAAATTTATCCTTGAAAGTGGTGGGAATGTACTAGCAAAAACTGGCTCTGGTCAGACAGTTCTCCATTTGGCTACCCGTCGAGATTTGGTCCAGTTTCTTTTTGAAAAAGGCGCAGATGTTCATGCAAGAGACTGCTACGGTAGAACTCCACTACATGCCGCCTCTGGAAAGGGCCAAACCGATACAGTCAAGTATCTTCTGGGTCAGGGGGCAAATGTTGACTCACGTGATGATTTTGGATGTTCGGCTTTGTATGAGGCTTTGCAGGGTGGTCATGCCGCTACAGCCAAAGTTTTGATCGATAGTGGATGCGACTTGAAACTTTCAACCGATCCAAAACGCCGTAAGAACCTACACGGAGACTTGCTCATAGGCGCGACATCAAGTGGACGTACAGAAGTTTTAGACATTCTTTTTCAAATCGGTTTACCTGTAGATGAACTTACACTGTATAATGAAACACCTTTGATGTCAGCAGTGAGATCTGGACAATGTGAGACTGTTGCCTTTCTATTAGACCGAGGGGCTAACATTAACGGTCAAACCAACAAACCCAAAGCAGATGAAGGCGATGATCATGGTGACAGTGGCTCAGACTATAGTGAGGAAGATGACCACGCGAGTTGGTACGAGTTCAAACATCGTCATCGTCCTCCATTGTATTGTGCTCTGGAAGCGGGTCAAGAGAAAGTAGCTAAACTTCTGATAGAAAGAGGCGCTGATACTTCATACTCGCAAGATGACGATACATCACTTTCGGAACTTGCAGCTAAGCATGGCTTCTCTGACATCCTTGGGCTTCTCGGGTGTAAGGATGACTTTCATTGTGATAAAATTGTAGATGGTGACACTTTACTGATATCAGCTGCTGGACGTGGAGATATCAAGTCGGTTCGTTATCTTCTAAAAAATGGCGCAGACGTGAATATGAAAAGCGTTAGAGGAGAAACAGCACTTACCAGTGTCATTCAATTTGCTGACCTTCCACGTGTGTTAGAAGTTGTTAAACGTCTCATTTCGTTTGGCGCCGATATAAACGCTAAGAACGCCGGTTCTCGAACACCTCTTTCGTTAGCTTGTTCAAGAAATTTTTATCAGGTGGCCGAGATTCTCCTTGAATTTGGCTGTGAGACCGGTAGCATCTATGGTGATTCCTTTTCTCCCCTGCACCACGCTTCAGAAAACAACAATGGAAAACTTGCAGAAATTTTATTGCAGTATGGCGCTGATGCAAATGTGAAAGACGACGAGATGACGCCTTTGCATGTAGCGGCAAGTTCATCTGGTATTCTTGCAGCTCAGGTTCTCTTAAAACATGGTGCTGACGTTGAAGTTGTGAATCTATCAGGCGAAACACCTCTCGCCGTAGCAGCAGCTCATGGAAATTTACCAATGATAAAATTGCTGATAGAAAGTGGGGCAAATGTCCATACCCAGGACAAACATGGTAGAAGCCCTCTCATTCTCGCCCTATGTAGTATGCGGTATCTTGAGTTTGAAGACGCCGGAGTGGCTGTGGTTCAATACCTATTGAATAGAGGAAGCTCTGTAAATGCTACCGACGTTTATGGACGATCGCCAGTTCATTATGTACCTCCTAGTGCCACAAGAGAATTCTTTGAGTTGCTCTTACATCATGGTGCTCGTGTGAATGTGCCTGATGAAAATGGAGAGACGCCTTTACATTTTGCTGCGTCGGTTGGAAGCAGTTCTTCAATTGAGTGGTTGTTGGAACATGGTGCTAACGTCAGAGCAGTTGACAGAGAAAATCGCACCCCACTTCACACAGCTGCATATGAAGGCCGCCGCAGTTGTGTCGAGCTACTAATTCAACATGGTGCTGATGTTCACGTCACCGACAACAAGGGATGGCTGCCTTTGCACCTAACTTCGTTTTCAGGCTGTGTTGATGTTGCTGGGCTTTTGGTTGAAAATGGAAGTGATGTTACAGTGGTTGACAAAAAGGGGAGAACACTTCTTCACTTGGCTGGAAAATTTGGACAGGATGAGTTTTTGGAATTTCTTATTCATCAAGGTAGCGACGTTAATGCACGCGATCTAAGTGGACAAACAGTTCTTGGGGAAATATCCAAATGTCCTTACAAAAACCCTGAGTGGAACTTTATCCAGATATACCTGAACAATGGTGGCGACATATTCGCAATCGACACTCCAACAGGTCGAACAACGCTTCATTTTGCTGCGGAATGTAATTTCGTGTCTACTTTGGACAATCTATTAAACCAAGGCATTGAGGTTGACGCAAAAGACAAAAATGGGGACACTGCTTTGCACCGGGCAGCGGCATATGGAGTTTCAGAAGTAATAGAACGACTGATTGATCGAGCAGCGGATTTGTCTGTCTTGAACAAGAAAGGTCGGACGCCATTCTTAGTTAGTCTTAAAAGGAATCCTAACAAAACAGCTTGTGAGATTTTGCTAAGACGTGGAAGTTCGGTGCATGTTGCAGATAACGAAGGGAACACGGCCCTTCACTTCGCTGTCTGTCAGCCCAGTGTTCTTAAGGAAATCGTGAAAAAGGGAGGAGATGTCAATGCGGTCAATAAACATGGATGTAGTCCCCTTCACGAAGCTGCTTACGGCGCGTACTTACCAGACTCACCGCGGCTCTTGATCAAGGCAGGTGCTGATGTCTGTTGCCAAGATGAACAAGGAAATACACCTTTTCACGTAGCAGTTTCGCGTGGCAACAGTAACATTGCTGAGTTTCTCATTAAGCATGGAAGCGACGCCCTTGCTACCAACTTTCAGGGTAAAACATGCCTACACATGTTCAGATATTATGGCGATAATCGTCTTTTAGAGAGGATGATTCGTCAAGGGCTAGACGTTAATGCTGTCGATGAGCTCGGATGCACTCCCCTTCATATTGCTTTGCTTGGAAACGACGAGTGGCTGGTAGAACTGTTGTTGAAGAATGGTGGCGATTGTGGAGCTGTGGATTATAAAGGAGCCACCCCTCTTCACGTAGGCTGCTGTTCAGGAGGAAAAGAAACCGTTTCGTTGTTGGTTAATCACGGAAGGTAAGTTTGCAGGTTTTTTATAATCTTGTTCCCAAAACGAAAATTGCAAAAAGGTCGTGATGGTGATCGAGACGGGCTTTTGTCGGTACTTTGAAGGCAAAGTCTTCTCCCTCCTTAGCTGACATTTTGGAAACAGGGGTAGTTGGCTATTATACAGAGGTGGCCTTTAGCCTCTAAAAATCAAGAGTAGGTGTATTTCGCTAGAGTAAAAAAGTGGCCCTTGTAGAGAGAGGTGACCGTTAGTTGAGTCTCTGCTGTAACTCATTCTTCAGTGCGATATCGGCGTCACATTTGAAGTGTCTCCATCGTTTGGTGACATATCAAACACGACACGCAGAGTTTCATCCAATATCCGGACACCGATAACTTGGTTTAAAATAGAGTTTTCTAACCTATCCAAAAGGTTCCTGGGTATGGCATGAAACAGTGAGTAGATTAAGTTTTGAATATATGAAAATCACATAAGTGAACTGCGGAAAGAAGAATTAAATGAAGGATGATCATCGCCGTTATATACGTAACTTTTACAGTTGCGAAAAGAAAGCCTGAAAAAAACTCAGGCTTGCACGGGATTCGAACTCTTGACTTCTGCGATAAAGCGCTGCACCGGTATCGCAGAGGTCAAGAGTTCGAATCCCGTACAAGCCTGAATTTTCTTCAGTCTTTCTTTTCGCAGCTGCAAAAGTTGCGTGTATAACTGCAATGATCATCCTTCGTTTAAGTGAGTAGATTGTCTGAGATAACTTCTCAGATGAACAACTATTCTTGGCGAAAGACAAAGCTACTCAAGTTCGCAAAATGTTTATGGTAATTAAGAAGTGATATCCAAAGCATCTGACGGTAGTGATTTCCTTTGCTTTCTATTCATGTATTATTACTGGTTTGTGAACAGTAATTCACAAATAATTTGAAAAATCGAAGCTTCAACGTCCCCACGGGTATACCCGAAGCATTTGACACCTTTGCCGTCCCGGGGAAGGGGATCTCATGATCAGGATCTTCCGGGGGGTGGGGAATTTGAACCACAGACTCAATTTCATGTGGCATTTATACTTTGCACGATGTTATCTATTGCAACCTGTCTGCAGACTCTGGTTCATTTCCCCGGTTTGCAAGCACGTGATCATCTAAAATGTGTCTGTGATGGGGCATTTGAAAGACTTTTTGGCTCGAGGGAGGGGGGTAATTTGGGGGTTGCCCTGGGTGTTGTTGAAGCTTCGATTTGACCGATACATAATGACCAATTTTTTTGTAGCGTCGGACGCGTTCGCTCTTGTATTGACCTCCCAGCAACACTCACTTCTTAGTTCTACAATGGCCACTTATCGCTGTCCTGAAGTCTTATTGTTTTGGAGAGGAGTAACTGGATGAATTGCAACTCATAATTCCTCATCTCTATTTTCGAATGTCCCATACACCGTATTCACAAATGGCGGACTCGCGGAAAAAAACTGGTGCCTAGTCATGAAAGCGAGGCGTTGGAGGATAAACAAAAATTGCAAATGAAGACTTTCAGTGAACTTGCAGAGTGTTTAGCACGGATTCCACCTAAAATAACTTTGTACGGACTTCTTTTTAAATACAATTACGTAGGATGTCTTCTGCTTTTAATGTTTAGTAGCGATTTGCTGTTTGCAATCAAAAGGGACGCGTATATCTTCAAGGAAACAGGATGATTTTGTAGGTTTCCAAAGCATCAGAAGCTCGACAAGTGGACTATGGCTGGAGAAAAGCGGCAAACATGTTAGCCCAAACTTCACATTGAAACCGAGTACGAAAGCAAGCTCACTGCAATTCGGTGAAACAGAAATATAAACAAATCTTGGTGGCAAGAAAAAAAGAAATAAGCGACAGATATATGGCCTACTTGCAACTGTTAACGCAAAAGACGTCTGCCGTTGAACAAAACAGTTCAAGTCGAGGTGGAAAAAAGGAAGACAGGAAAGAAGAGGTGACTGGGGTTTCGATGAGGTTATGTTTGGTTTTTGTTTGCCAGGACGTTATTCTCTGGTCTTTATCAATGAAGGACATCAATTAGAACTATTTTTTAGGTATAAATGCTGGAGCGATCGAGAGGAGTACGCTCAAAATTTCAACTTGTTACTCGGCAGACTCGGTAAGCCGGCCACATATCATTTGAGCGAGTAATTTCGTATTTCTTACCTTTGGCTGTTAAGAGTTTTAACTTTATGTTCCATAATATTTTAAAGTTGAAGAATACATAAATAAATAAAATGATGGTCTTCTTAAACTGATCCAGACTCGAATTCAATTATTCGAAACCGAAGCTTGCCGTGTGCAGTCCTGACAGAAACATTGCCTTAAAATTTTAACCTAGTAAAATGTAAGCTTTATACCACTTTTTTTACCAAGAGCTCTCTGAGATAACGCCCTAAAAGAGCCAGGTAAATAGCAAGCCATAAGATTCACACACTACAGCTTCTAATTTTGATAAAATTATTTTTAATTATTTCGCAATGACAAAGAAATCATGAGATTTTTGCTAAGCTCTGCCAACGTACCTCTAACAATTCACTCCAAAGCGACGGAATTAATTTGATCCAATACAGAATTGTAGTGATCTGGCTTTCATATTCGGTTTCAGTGTGCGGTTTGGGCCAACATGTTTGCCGCTTTTCTCCAGCCATCGCCTACTCTTCGAGCTTCTGATGCTTCGGAAACCTACAAAATCATCCTGTTTCCTTGAAGATATACGCGTCCCTTTTGATTGCAAACAGCAAATCGCTACTAAACATTAAAAGCAGAAGACATCCTACGTAATTGTATTTAAAAAGAAGTCCGTACAAAGTTATTTTAGGTGGAATCCGTGCTAAACACTCTGCAAGTTCACTGAAAGTCTTCATTTGCAATTTTTGTTTATCCTCCAACGCCTCGCTTTCATGACTAGGCACCAGTTTTTTCCCGCGTGTCCGCCATTTGTGAATACGGTGTATAGCACACTCAGTTTGCCCCCAAAATGTCGCATAAACTATTGTCGTCAAATGCTCCTGGGAGGTCGTTAGAAAACAATAACGTATGAAAAATTTGTAGGGCACACAGTGTATTATGGGGGATTCAAATATAGCTAATTAACAAAATTTGCTTTGCGATTTTTTAAATCTTTCGACTTTAATTTGTAGTAATCTCGAAGCTAAGGACTACAAAGGTTGCACTCCACTTCACATCTGCGCTGTCTTCGATCAAAAATCCACAGCTTGTTTACTTCTTCAGAATGGAGTAAACATTGAAGCCAGGGATGAAGAAGGGAGTACTCCACTGCACCTTGCTTCAGCCTTCAGTGATGCAGAGGTAGTTAAACTGTTTCTTGAGCATGGTGCAAGGGTTGGTTCAAGGGATTCAGAAGGCAGTATTCCGCTTCACACGGCTGCTGCACTCGGTAGGATAAAATGTATTCCAGTGTTAATTGATGCAGGAAGTGACGTCAACGCGCGTGATGATAATGGAGAGACACCGCTGCACGTATCTGCAGGCTCTGGTCATCTTGACGTAGTTCGTCTGTTGATGGAAAAGGGAGCAGATTTGTTTGCAGAAGACAAGGAAGGGCGTACACCGAGTACATGTGCTCAACTGTTTGGACACAAAGAAGTGGAAAAGTGTCTACAGGAAAGACCTAGCCCATCACACAAGGGTATTAGTCTTTCATCGGATCTTAAAGAACTGAAGGTTTTTTAGTTATTAAGTCATAGCACTTGTGACGTCGAAATGGTCTTCAAGTTGAAAATGACGAGGGTTATGTTCAACGGACTTGACCCCTTGGGTACAAGTCTTCCCCTTCATACAACTTTTGCATCAAACATTTAAGGGATGCATTTGTACTCTAGCTGTGACTTACAAAGTTCGAATGAACGGTCGTACAGTATGTCCCTAAAACATAATTAATAGCTGAAAAATCAGTCATAACGACCAGACTACTTGGCGTTAGTGCAACGGGACAACCACAAAAAGTAAAGTCGTTATGGATTACATGATTTAAGACCGACTTAGCGCGCAGACTGCATGAGCCGAGAGACTGTAGATCATTTTGTAAAAATAGTGACGCGTGAGTTATTGCGATAATACCCATCCTGGTGTCTGTGACTGAGGCATTGGTGGATTCTAGTCGAACAGCTTAATAAGGCCCTGTTTGCACTCTTCTAACAGGAAGCCATTAATTGTGCGAACGATTTTTTCACCTACCAAAATATTCTGTAAGTGTCACCAAAATATTCTGTAAGTGTCACCAAACTTCAAAGATACCATGGAGAATATTTGAAGGCCGATAGTTTTTTGTCATGTGACAAACTCCTTTGTTCCTTGACAGCCATCCTTCGTCGGGTCATCTTATCTCGCGAACGTGACCAATTAAAGTTCCTTTAATTGAAGTTTCTGGTTATACGAAACATTTCGCGTGTCTCAGATGCGAAAAAGAATGCAAAAACGAAAAATTGGTGATTACAAAAATTTCTTTGCAAACGCCGAAGTCTATTTTTCGTCGTAGGGCGAACAGGGCCTAAGAGATAATTTGTAAAATTACTTTTCCCGTTATGACTTCTTAAGAGGAAGTTAGAGGGGAAGTCTCGGGAGAATTCTCCGAAGATTTCGTGTAAACTTATCTTGACACATAAAGCACACTAGTGGACGCGCAAAATGATGTGGAATAATCAAAGAGATATCAAAGAGAACTAAGGAACGGACCATTAGAAAACTTATCGGGGGGGTCGGCGAAGTACAAAAAAAATATTAAGAACGAGAAGTCGAAAGACTACTGCAAAGCTGATTTAAAACAACGTGTATTGTTTTTTATAACAATATTTCGGCTGGCCATACCAGCCTTCTTCAGGTTTACAGATGTTACTGAACTTATGTAGCAATCACAATATTATATAGATGGAGAATGTCGCAATAAAAGGGAGAGGCGGAAATGACGTACAACATAAAAACTGGAAAGGAAAAATACTAAGGATATGGATTACAATAATTCGTGACGGCGGTTTAGGCCATGAGGTTCAAGAGTCATGGCCTTATCTATCAAATGCGACTCCCTGGCCTTACGAACTGAGTCACGTTCCCAAGTCAGTCTTCTATGGCGGAGTAGGGGGCTTAAAGGACCAGCAAAACGTCACTTAGAAAGTTAATTCGAGCTGTTTTAAACTTCATCTCGCCCTGTTAGTCAAATGTAGGCGAGTTTTCCAGGGGATGGATTCAAAGTTAACATAAGAGAAAGAAAAAAAAATCGTCGTCTTGCGTCCACTTAGGGAAGTTCACGATGAAGTCTTACATTTGTGACTTAAAGATCCAACGACGCGACGGCAATGAGAACGTCGCTTAAAAAGTGAATTTGCTTTCTTTCCGTCTTTATCGAAGTTATTCATACCCACTTACTTTGTCAACTGTAGGCGAACCCTCCTGAAGTTGAATTTCTAAGGACCATATCCAAGTGCAGAAAGAGAAAAAAATTTTCGTCGTTGCTTGTTTACGCACTCCACAAAACGCGAAATTAGGAATGTTCACGTCGTAGTCGTGCAAAGACGGGCAAAGAAATGTACAAAAAAAGCGTGGTGCACGTGCAAAGTTGTTGTTTTGCTAATAAAACCTATTGTTTTTTTGACGTTCTCGTTGCCGTCCGCGTTGTTGGATCTTAAAAGGGACCTTAAGATCCGACGACGGCGACGGATACGGGAACTTCAAAAAAACAATAGGTTAACATTAGCAAAACAACAACTTTGCACGTGCATCACGCTTTTCTGTACATTTCTTTGCCGTCACTGCACGACTACGACGAGAAAATGCCTAATTTCACGTTTTATGGAGGACGTAAACAAGCTACTATGAAATTTTCTTTCCCATTCTGAACTCGGATATGGTTTTTCAGGAATTCAACTCCAGGAGAGTTCGCCTACATTTGACAAAGTAACTGAGTTGGAACTGTCGCGATAAAGATTGAATGAACGCGAATTCACTTTTTAAGCGATGTTTTCGCTACCGTCGACGTCCTCGGATCTTAAAGTCCCTAAAGTCCCTAGTGCCGGACGAAACAGACATCTTAACACATTTTTAACAAAAATGTAAGGGACGTGCAGAGTTGATCGAATAATCGACCTTTCACGATCGTGAGACAAAGAAAACTGTTGCGAGTCCCTGACAGGATTCCAATTTATGGTATCACTTTGCATTGCTTAGTCCTTTAGGCCCTCTCGGTCAATGCATTTCCGTGACATATACAGCTATTTCGAGAAAGGTTGTCGAAAAAAGTGCGCCCGACAATCCCGAAAGGTAATGTGGGTAGTTTTGAGTTCACTGTTCTTCAATGAAATTTGAAAGAATGGCACGAGAGGCCATGGACATATGTTTGCGCTTGAAGTTTGCGCGTGCTAAAGGAAAGCAACAAAAACAGATTCAACAGCTACAGTGCCAGGAACAGTGTATTGATAACAGGGGTCTTTTTTGCATGAGCATGCGCGACCGCTGAACAAGCGATGTGGATGGAGGCTCACCACAGGGTTTGCCTTCATCAAAATGGCGCGTCTCAAAGCTATCATAGCGATTATTTTGCTCGTTGGTCTTGGCGAATGTGCTCGTGATTTAACAAAATGTGTAGTTTGCAAAAAAAACTCTAACATGGTCTTAACAAAAGCGAAGTAGACCGGCTTTAACATACACGAGCTACTATCAAATTTCATCTCCCCACTTGACCTGGACAACAGCGCGCGTATATGCCAGGGGACCCACACAATCTGTTTGTGTAGCCGATTGTTATTTTATAGTAAATGTACTGGATTTACCGTTTGCTTCACCTATAGCGATATATCGCTAACTATGTATATAAATCAATGATAAATAAACGTTGAATTACCTTACCTGTGGTGTATAGTCGTCCTTTTGCCTCAAATGGAACAGTCAAAGGCGAACTCAAACTCCTTCAAAATCGCTCAAAAAACCACTTTTGAGGCAAAAGGACGACTATACACCACAGGTAAGGTAATTCAACGTTTATTTATCATTGATTTATATACATAGTTAGCGATATATCGCTATAGGTGAAGCAAACGGTAAATCCAGTACATTTACTATAAAATAACAATCGGCTACACAAACAGATTGTGTGGGTGCCCTGTGGTATATGTAGTGCCTGGAGGATCGCGCTCACCTCATCAAAGTCGAAACAAAGTGCAGAAACGTTTGTTGATGCGAGTAAACACTTTCAATTTTCTTTGTTTTGAAATGAGAAAGGAAGAGAAATATTTAAAAAAAAACCATAGCAAATTTCAGCGAGTGGGTTCGAAGTGCGCGAAAGCCGATGTTCAGTTTAGCAGTGAATTAATATATGTTCTACAATTTTCCCAGCACTTTAAAGCTACAAAATTTTAATTTTGTAGCTCGTGTGCTCTTAAAAGAGCACACGAGACGTAGATTAGTTACCTGGTGAGATGTTGGTGGTAGTCACTCTGTATGTCTCGAACAATAAGAAAAATGAATATCAATGAGACACAGTCAAAACTGCATTTAATAGGACCGAAATTAAAGTCCAATCTTGTGACCGATTTTGATGAAACAAACGGTTAGGTTTCCCAAGAAGTCCAGTTAACATGTGATGCCGACCAAAAGTTAAAAATCATTAGAACATTTAACTTTTGGCTAAAAGCAAATTCCTGTAAAAGATGCGTTACAATGTTAATCCACGCAAAAACAAGAAGTTCTACAATTTTCCTATAAACAAACTTTGTATCGCTAAAATACTTAAGGCAAAAACTTTCTATTCCAACTGAAAACGGCGTGGTAGTCGCCAGCTGATCGTTATTAATCCACTCCCGAAATAGGGCTAAATCAGCTATTAACAAATTATTGACAGAAATCCTCTACGGCATCGAGAAACTGATTTACGTCCGATTTATAGACAAACACTAAATAAAGAACATTTTGCTCAATAGCTACGCATCAGCAATGCATTCTATACCAAACTTTGCGGTTCTTAAAGGGGAATCAAGGCACGAGTCGAGCGCCAAACAACAACAAGCAGCCATGTTCGTGTCAGACATCCTGGAGAAACTTACTCTTTCACCTCGTTCAGCGCATCAGTCTCCACTTTAAATCAACAGATCTTTACTTATTTTGTACAACGAAGGTCTTTCCTAAGTTCCTGCTACCATTTCAATGTCAAGCAAGCTTTCAAAGTGAACAATTTGGTTCCTAAGACTATGCAGCACGGTCGCTGTCACTGGTCGCGTGCTCTTTGACAAGTCAGCGGTCGCGCATGCTCATCTAAAAAAGACCCCTGTTTGTATTGATCATATCCCATATTACCTTTCGGAATTGTCGCGTACATTTTTTTTTTCCGACAACCTTTCTCGAAGTAGCTGTATGAGGCCTAGGGCCTAGACAAGGCCTTGTAGCAGGGCGGATAAAGGTTGGGCAGTGAAACGAGTGCTCCGCTCTTCATTTTTAAATGTGCGATTCGCAGTAGGACTCGCGCGAGCGCTCTTTTCGCGCTTCCGGTGCGCTTAAAGGCCGGCGAAAATTTTCCGTTTTGCAAACCGGAAATCCTATTTTCTTTCTGTAATTTCAGGCTATAATGTTAAATAGATAAATTTGTTTGATAACAATATCAATAGACAGTTTCATATGTTTCTGTTTGTGTGCCTGTAAGTCAAACTTGTTGGTCTTATAATGCCAAAATTTGACTTTAATTTGAAAGTGTTGAATACCTCCTCCTTCCATTAAATATCACCTAATCGTCTTTCGCCGTTTCGTTTGCAAAAGCTTAACACTTCTTAACCTCAACTTTTACATATGTTAAAGGGGGATAAGTTTTATATAACATAACAAAAAATTAGATTGATATATTTTGATATAGTGGCGTTGTACTGCTTCAAACTTTGCTTCTCGGGTGCAACGCGCCATGGCGATTCGCGCAACGCGTCGCAAATCCGGCAACCGCATGTAAACAAAATTTATTGAGGTTTGTTGTAAGGTTTTTTCTCCGTTTTTTCGATCTGCTGTCTTTTAGTTTTGACCTGATTGTATGGTTTAGACAGTACTTAGTTGTTTTTGTTTTGGAATAACATCGACATTGGCGAGTAGTAGAACGAAAATATAATTCAGTGGTAGAGTCATGGAAGTAATTAGAGATGTTTGTCTACTCCAACTAAACCTCCCGCAAAAAATAGCAACATTTGCCTCTCGGAGACAGCATACCAGCACAAAGGAACGAGCAGAAGTGCAAGAAAACAAATCAAGCCGCTATTCAGTGACAGCGGCAGTGTCTAATGGACAAACCACATCGCAAGCCCTGACCGAAGTCGAAAATAAGTCTAAGCAGGGTCCCAGTCCACTGCATCACACCTTTTTGCTCGGACGCGCTCGTTTCACCGCCCAACCCTTGCAGGGTTGTGCAGAGACCGGGCGCCGTAAGAATGGTTGCTATTCCGCATGCGCGCCACGTATGCTGCCAGTATCATTCTCGTCCCCAGGGCCACTCGGTTTAATTTGTAACCGACCCCTCGTTTCCCTACCACGTGACTAAGAAACGACGGGCTCTGGGGACGAGAATGTGGGTAATAAATCCGTGTTCTCCTACACGAATATAAAAAATCCCCCTAAAATATCTTCATGTAACATGTAACTATGTGTCACTCAACATAACTAGGTATCACTACCCATCACCACCTATCACTGTCCATCACTACACATCACTACATATCACTACATATCA